GGGAATTCTGCTCTCTCTGTAATTGAAGCACTTCAGTGAAGAGGTGACACACCAGGTGAGGACAGCCTCTGCTCCATCAAATTGCCATGGGACTTAAGTAAGGCTCAAACATGGCTACTACTAATCAGTTCACAGACGCTTTTATTGTGCAATCTCTGTCACCCTGAAAGGCAGGTGTAAAACTAGTGCAATGTAAACCTCTTACACCATTTAATGCCTTCTTTAATATTTAAAACCAGCACAGGCTATTCTGACTGATTTCTACTTCAGCAAGGAGTACTAATAGTACATAAAGTGATCTTCAGGTTAAAAACCATGCCTGAAACCTTTCAGACTTGTAGTAAATGGATCACAGTTTTATGACATACACCAAATGTGCTAACAGAGTTCCTCTGCCATGGAGCTGGCTGGTGTGACACAACCTGCAGAGTCTTTCATGTACTCCCAGGGAGGAGGGAGAGATAAAATATGTGGACAGCAGAAAAACCCACCTTATGTAACTACATTAAAATGAAAACTACCTTTAATGCAGCACCAATCTTAAATCTACCAGATGCCTCAAATCTGGTTATCCCATTTCTTTATACCAGTCCTTCTTACGTTTATAATCCATCATTCTTTGATGTTTATAATTGCATTCAAAGCCTCATTTAGTGAAGCCAGCCCAGCCGAGTTTGCTTTGCCATGGGGCAGGAGCTGCAGCAGGGCTGGGGACACAGCCTTTGAGATGTACAGATTGTCAGAGGTCTGTGCTATTGCTCATCCATTCCTTAGATGCAAACTTCCCTGAAGTCCTTCAAATAAGAGGTGCTGCATTGCTGGTTGTAACTCCTCATTCTCCCCCCATTGCTTGTAGGCTTGAGCAGCGGGCACAACCCAGGATTTTCTTGCTGTTCTGGTGTTAATCAGCCCTGGAAAAAGCAGCAGATAGGAGACAGAGAGGGGATCTTTACAGTACCTGCCCCAGGACAGGAGCACATGGAGCATCTTCCCTGCTCCACAGGATGCAGGGTGAACCTCTCACCTCTGTTCTCACCAAATTTCATTACAACTGGAAGAGAACTGGATGCACAGAGGGATGAGAGAGCTGGCTCCCATCAAATCAATGCTGCATATCTCTGAGTCTCTTCTTTCCTACCCTGGGGAAACTCTCCTTTGTCTTCTTTTGCCCTGAAAAAGCCCCTGGGTAGGAAAGAAGAGACTCAGAGATATGCAGCATTGATTTGATGGGAGCCAGCTCTCTCATCCCTCTGTGCATCCAGTTCTCTTCCAGTTGTAATGGAATATGCTTGACCAAACCCGCCCAGTGACAGTTTTTCCCATGTCCTGGCTCAGCAAAACTCTAAAACAAAGGGAAAAACTTGGCAATTACGGATGCATTAATTGCTCCTCCTATAGCCACCACCTCCCAGCAGTGTCGTTGATGGGTGGGAGGCATGAAGGTGATGTCTTGGTGCTTCCTGGTGCTAAAGCTGGAAATGGCACTGCACCTCACTGCATCATTGCACATCGGGGCGATTATCACCTTTAGGATAGATCATTTCATTGTGTTTAAGTCACTAAAGCATGTAAATACATATAAATGCAGAGGAAGCATTTTTAAAACGCTAAAATGCATGGTTGCAAATATGCTCCTCATCAGTGGGACATCCTCTTTACCTACTGTCACAGTCCCCCAACTCTGCATTGTACCATGATGCTTATAACACCCATGTTTTCCAGGCCTGAAGGACAGACAGTGCCTATCACCTCATCCATTTTTATCCTTGTTTCTCGCATGGAAAACAAATCCTTTCTGTTTGCTTACCTGTTTGGGGCTTTTCTTGGCCTTGGTCAAGGGCTGGGAAACTTCAGTCCCACCCCATTACAGGGTGAGTCACCACAGGGGATTGCACACAGTCATTCATCTCCCAGCTTCCATGAAAAGCTCAGCCTTCTCCACAGGGCCTGAACTGCGAGATGTTTTATATATACGTGTGTGTGTACAAACTTAAACGTTGCATGCAAACCACTTATGTTTTGCTCACACGCATGCTGAAAAGACAGATCTGTTCTAAGAGGGGTAAAAGAAAGCTGCATAAAAACATCAGCTTTGTTCCCTGCGGTTTGCAGCTAAAGAGACAACACGTGCACGCTTCACCTTGAAGTGGGAAGATGAAAGCTGCTCTCAGTCCTACAAGCCAATGCGAGCACCAAGAGCCAACGCTTTTACTGCTGGACCACAATTACTGAGCTGCTGCCCTGTGAGCAAAGCCCTCCACAAAGCCTGTGCAATGTCTCACCTCTCCAAAGCAGCCGTCCAGGTGAAAACAGATGTCCCTGCTGGGGAGCAGCCCTGACCTCCAGTTGTGCGGGACCAGCTGGGGCAGGAACACTGCAAGAAGGAGGGAAACCAGGAGGGTTTGGAGCACAACTTTTTTCAGACATCATGCACTCAGAAACACAGGGTTTGAACATATTCACAGGGTACAACAGAGATTTCAGTTCAGTCCCAGCCTTCAGCTGACACGAGCTGTGGTTTTTGGTTATTGCGTTCTGTATTTGGAAGGGGAAAGTCCTTTTTTTTTAATAGCTATTCACTTGAGTCTTTGCAAACAAATATTTCCAGACCTGTAAGGCTTACTGTCACAACTTGGAAGCAAACTCACCTGCTTGCAATTTGCTGCCTGAAGTGGGGAAAAATGACAAAAGTGAAAAGCCGATGAGTTTTCAAAAGCACATTGATGGGAACCTTGTGCAGCACAGAAAAGACAATCCATGAATCAGTGAAACTGCTCCTACCCAATTCCAGCCAAAGCTTGGCCAAATTCCTGCCTTGGCAAAGGTGGCGTGAGAGCTGGTGGCAGCTATGGTCCCTTTGGGGAGAGCAGCTGGCTGACCCCAGGCACTGACCTCTGCTCTCACCTCGCTCTTTCACCCCGTTAGCAAGCTGTTACAGATGTGCTCCCATGCATTTTCACAAGCATCTCATGCTGGTTCTGCAAACCTTGAGCACAATGGAACACGGGATTCAGGCTCCACTCTCAACACCCCAGTTGGGTGGGACTGGTGCTACTGACACCACCATCCTCCTTACAAACAGTCAGAAACAGTGATGGTGGTGCTCATGTTGTGTAACAGCCAGGGCCAGTGGTAGAAATGTGCCTCTACAGGCTGCTTTGCCAGACTCCCCTGAGAAGCTGTGGCCCTGTACAGAGTGGAATAAAATTCCCCTTGCCAGAGAACCTACGTATGAGAGGAGCAAGGATCTCACACAGGAAGTCAGTAGTTGAGACCCTTACCCAGGAGAAACACATGGGATAGAAAGAGAAACATACCACTCACACTGAACAGTACAGGCTATTTGGAAACGCTGCTTTAAACATGCAAGCTTCATGTGACTGGACATATGCAACCTGTTGTAAAACATCCCATGCAAGAAGTTATGTGCAATTTCAATTACACAAATGCCTACTAATTCCTAGCTCCCAGCAGGACGGTGAGCTTCACTGGGAGCAATAGCAGCAATTGCTTTATCATGTCAAATTTGCTCATCATCATGGCAAGAGGCTGACCCGTACTAAAGGCAAGAAGAAGCCTCCATCCCTCTCAGACAAGGAGATTCTACTAACCAAACACTGACCGTACTCACCTCTTCCTCAGATGAATTTTATTCAGTAGAACCATGAGGCTCTGCTTTGATGACAAAATCAAAGTCCCTGAGCCTCAGAAGTGAATTGAGACCATTGCTACAGAGGTTTCCACTGAAGAGCAACATTAGTTTATGAATTCTCTGCATTAGCCATCCTGGATTGCTGCTGTATCCAATCAAGGATGCTTAAAGAGAAAAAAAGAGGGAAGCACAGCGTTTGTTGAAAATGTTCCATCCTACAGGAGCTGTAGCACACTCATGCTCCACTCCAGTTACACTACAAGCAGCATTGACTAAACTTCCCCTCAGCAAAGCTGGAATCTCATTGCCAGAACTCCTAAATTCACCATAACAATGCTAAAAGCACTTACAACTCGTGCACTGACAGTGCCTTAGCCAAGCGAAGCGAGCACCCTGAGACCCCTGGGCTTGAGATGCGACCAGCACTGTACCAGCAATCCAACAGCAAAATTATCCCAGTGCCTTATCCAAGGGATAAAAAAGTCTTTAAAAAGCTGAGGAAGGGTTAAAAAAGCCCTTTTCACAGGTTAAGGAAATGCTTTCAAGCCACAGGTAAACACATCTCTGCTGAATGAGCCATCCCCTGGAGTTCAGTGCTTTCTCCCTGTGCTCATGGCCAGCAGCACTATACCCAGGTGGTGAAACGAGCTGAAACCACCCAGCAGCTCCACCCATCACTGCAGTAACGCTCACACCCAGGAAACCACAAGTAACTTCTAAACCCATGGGGCAGGATCAGCGTTTTCTTGGGAAAAATAATAGCAGATTTGTACAAAATTTTGAGGGATTATTTTTATTGTTCTGAAAGCAAAGTCTACTCAAATTTATCAAGTAGCTTTCTCGCCTAGAAAACTTTTTGGGAGCAGGTTTAAAAGATGTCTAAGAGCAAGTGGGTTTAAAACCAAACCAGAACAGTGGAAACAAGTACTACAGACCATAGAATCATAGAATAGTTAGGGTTGGAAAGGACCTTAAGATCATCCAGTTCCAACCCCCCTGCCACGGGCAGGGACACCTCACACTAAACCATATCACCCAAGGCTCTGTCCAACCCGGCCTTGAACAACACCAGGGATGGAGCATTCACAGCTTCCCTCGGCAACCCATTCCAGTGCCTCACCACCCTTACAGTAAAGAACTTCTTCCTTATATCCAATCTAAACTTCCTCTGTTTAAGTTTTAACCTGTTACCCCTTGTCCTATCACTACAGTTCCTAATGAAGAGTCCCTCCCCAGCATCCCGATAGGCCCCCTTCAGATACTGGAAGGCTGCTATGAGGTCTCCACGCAGCTTCTCTTCTCCAGGCTGAACATAAGTAATAATAAAAACCACACTAGTATAACACAAAACATTTGTGAAGATTTTAATTGGGACATTTACTGGAAAACTCAGATGAGGGCGATGTGGAGCATTAACTCCTTAGGAATTAACTCTACATTTTGTAAAGACAAAAGGTTCAGGAAAGATACTGAAAACATTTGGAAAACCACATAAAAGTCGTGACCAGGACCCATAACACAACTAACCTAACACAAATCAGGAGATGACATGAAGCATGAACAGTCATTACAGTTAATCTGTGTACGGAGAGACATTTAGAGACACACTTCCAAATTGAACTAATTTTGGCACCAGTGAGAAAGGATGCCTTTTCTGCCCTCTCAATCAGATCTATTGCAACGTCAAACACGTACATAAAGATTTAACAGTCCAGGGTTTGGGGTTTTTTCCATAGGGCTCACTGAACTGTGTGTTTAACTTTGCCAGACTAGCAGGCAGACACTGAAGAGTATCTTCTCTGCCTTTTATTTGCACACTTCTAAGAAGAGATTGCCTTTTACTTTTCTTACCAGAGGAAATAAAAGGAATTCCTAGAAGATACTAAAGACACCAGAAAAGGACGTCCATGTAACTCAAGCCTTCAGATCTCTGAAAAGATCTATTCATGGTACAGCTTTTCTACCACCCAAACTGGATGCAAGTCTCAAAATTCCACACTCCTCTGTAAAGTCCTGCTCCTGCGCCACTGTGCTTTAGGGGCAGTGACCTCCTACTACCATGTTGAAAGACAGGAATGCATTTCTGTTGACTTGCTGTAATATAGCTTCATTATAAGCTTAGGGTGCCCTCGTTATGCTCCCAAATCTTACTAATAATAAGGTATTTGAATAATAATATAGATAACAAGATAATTTGGACAGGGGTATCAATTTCTTCCTAGTACCATGCCATATTGACACATGGCCATGTGTAATTATTAATGGGTCTACATGAAGTTAGCTACATAATGAGGAAATGCATATGAGTTTGTATCTTTCTGAAGCACCACAATGCGTTCTCTTCTCCAGAACACAAACCAAAGAGCCCTCATCAGCTACATAAAATCAGTCAGTTGTATGAAAAAAATTCAACAATCAAGACTGGTTTTAAGCCCCTTCACTTGTAATTCTGGATCAGGTAAACCTCTGAAACCATCGCTTAACTCAGCGAAGAATCCGAGCCATTTCTTAAAAAACTATATAAAGTGAAAAAGCTCCTGTTGCTTGGACTTCATTCAAAATGCTCAAATGTCATTCGTTCCTCTGCCAGAATTCAAAACACAAACATACATTACTGTAAAACAACACACATACTTCACCTAGGGACAGGTATCTTCAAGTAAGAAAAAAGTATTTCATATACACTTTAAAAGATAGATTTACGATTTCAGAAATAATTTTTATATTAAAATTCTTGTATGCGTAACTACCATTACAGAACAACTTTAAGAGATCCCTTGATACATGTTAATATAAATATCACCATTCAGACCAGTAAAATTGTACCAAACTGGCTTTAGTTTTAAGCCTGTTCAGTGTTAAAAGTCAAGAGCTGGGACCTGATGGTCAACTGGCCTTAAGAACATACAGATCAACAAAAAAATGTGCTTATTATTGGTTTTATTATGCCCAGGCAGCAAATTCTCCAAAGTCCTTCAATAAACAAACGCACGTGTTAGGTTGCTGGTTCTATCTTATCAATCTCTTCCTTCTTTGGACCTTCTTCTCGGTTTTTGCCCTGCTGCATGGTGTACACGGATGGGCCCATCCTTACGATCTTCCCACTGCCCAAGCACTCGTCACCCTTGTAGAACACTGCAAACTAGGAGAAAAACAGGAAAAGCCTTTTCAGCAGCTAGAAAATGGCATGGTGAACAACTTTAGGCTGTGCAACACCTGCTGGGCAGCGAGTGTATTTGTTGGCAGTAAGGATTGTAGGTTTACACAACTGTAAATATAAACATGTTGGTGGAAATTCCATCATGAACTTTTACAAGATTATCTCAAAACTCTTCAACTACTGAGGTGGAATGGATTGTGCTGGAAAGCTTCCTTTTCCTAAGGGGGTGATGTATGTAACACCATCTGCATTTTCACCTGACCTTCCACGGGCTACAGTGGCGCTTCCCAAACAGGAAGCGGACCAAGGACTACTAGAAGGAAGTGACTGGGGCTCCCTGATGTGCTCAGGAGGTTCTTGCAGGAGAGAAGGAGCACAAACCTCCTGGCTTTGTCTCATTACCTTGCAGTAAAGAGCCCAATTACTGGCTCAGCAGCTCCTGGCAGTCAGGGGCTTCTTCTGCCTGTCATCAGCCCTGGCTGAGTCCTCTCAGCTCAGCTCACAGCTCGCCTCTCTCAAGTATATCCCTCTCTCCATTAAAAAATGTTCTCAATTTCCCTCCTGATGCATCCCACAGGCTCCCAAGTTCTGGGGTGGGAGAGGGAGGGTAGAACACATGCTAGGAGAGGGCACACAGAAAATGCTTGAGAACTACTGGTTTACAGTGTTATGGGAGTATCCTGGTATTAGCAGTGTTAGAAAGCATCACTACACAGTACCTCTTCTCAGTACTGTCCTGGGACAATGAAATTCACTGGACACAGATCCTCACTAATCAAATTTGAACCCTAAAACTGTATTAAGCAGCCAATTATAGAACTAATGCCTTTTTAAATCTATTACTTGAACACAACAGATTTCATTTCTGCATATACAATTCTTACCAGAGATGTTTTCATCTATTTCTAAACTTGTAAACCAGTTTCTCAGATTATATGGATAACAACAGAGCATTTAATACTAGAAACAACCTCCTTCAAAATAGTTGATGAATAGCCAAAATAGAGCTAACTGCTCTCATGAAAATATATTAATTTGCTCCATCTACTATTTTATTAGCCAGATATGCCAAAACACACAAAATAGGAAAGAAAATCACTTTTAATAACTTACCTGCCCAGGTGTGATAGCTCTTGCTGGCTTCACTAGTGTCACCCATACACTTCCATCTTGGTTTAGAGTCAGCACACACGGCACTAGAGCAGAAAATGGCCAAATACCTGCCAGTTAATCCTTATGTTCACATTAAAAGTTAAACAGATGTAATTCAAGATATTATACACAGAACTGTTTTATGAAGACACTCTAGAAAGGCAAGCCAAAACATTTCAACTATTTCTGCAAAACAACACTGAACACATGATCACAGTTGCCCAAACGAAGCAAAACAAACAACCCCAAAACACCAAGGTTTGATTACCCAGTGCCATCTGGTGCCGAAACCTGAGATGACAGTCCATCATCTTCTCTCTAACGAGCAATGCGGGAGGTTCCTCTGCTATCCAGTGCACTCGGTTTGTCCGCAGCAGGTCTCTGTACAGAGCAGGGTGATCTCTTGATGGTGCCTTAAAATATATTTATTTAATGCTGATGTTTCTGACAGAGAGCACATAACTTGTAATGCTTGAAATATAGAAGAATCACCAAGCCGTATCAAAATGAAGGCAAAACGAGGAAGAAAGCAAGCATTTATTAGCACTTAATCAGCTTCCAGGTGGAAGCCTTTAATTTAAAGAATAGGCTAAAGCAAGCCTGAAAAGCCAGTTTTCTACATCTCAGTCATGTTGCTTCTTGTATTCTTTTTCCTTCAATCATATTTCTGACAGAGTTCAGACATGTACTGCCCTCTTCATCCCATTTCAACAAGATGCTACCTCTCCTCTTCTCTAATTTCCCAACTCAACACCTCTCCAACAAGGGCACTGCACAAGCACAACCTTACAGCAGGGCATAAATAAGATTTCTTAGTGGTCCTGCCTTTTCCCTCTCAACTCTCTTTTGATTATGATTTTTTCCCCCCAGACATATCAACAAGTAGCAGATCACCTCATTATAACCACCTCAGTACTAAGTAACAACTGCACGAACATCAAGAAACACTAACAATGCTTGCAAGCTGCAGAACTCTCAGTTGTTTCATATGATTAGTCATTAACTCAACAATTATTTGCAGTATTATATGTATTCTGCCTCAGTTTTCAAAATGATTAAACTCTATTACTGGCTACTATTTCTTTTACTAGAAAAAGAAAGTAGCAATACATAGCAAACCAAGATAATACACACTGTATACTCTGTGTCACAATAACTACAATAAACTGTTTTAGAGTGGAAAATGAGAGCTCAGTAAATTGGCTGATTCTTTTCAGTATCTTTTCAGTCCTTTATCTGGAAAAGTTCTATGCCAAAATCTAAACCAATTTTCTACTCAAGAAAAGCCAGTTTGGACAAGATGTTTCAAAGCTGCTGATGCTACACTAGTTAGTTCTTGTTTCCCCCAAGAAAGCCAAGAACTCTGTCCAGGTCAGAATCACATTCCATACAGCAGGAGTCACAAAATGCTTGCATTAGTCATCTGCAATACCAGTATGAATTAACTCACCACAAAGACATCTCCAGTGCTGACATCTTTGTCTACAACGAACCAAGCATCCCTCAGGCCTGCTAGTCTAGCCCTCTGGCCTATGGTGTAGAGGAACCAACCTAAAGAAATACAAAAACGTAATGCTGGAAGCAATTTTTCACCTTTTACCTTCAGAAAAATATGTTAAAATCCTTTCCCCAAAACTTTACCACTAAACGAACAATAACAAACCAAGCTGTCTTAGAGAAGTCTGCCAATTACAAGCTGAACTAGCATCTACTTCAAAGATGTACCTGAAGCACACGGTTTCAAACTCATCTGTTTCAAACTCTATTGTGCTATTCTTAGGGTTTATAAAAGACAAACATTTCAGCTTCAATTTGTTGTTTTATTACTACTTAGTCTTACCAGTTTCCCTTACTTTTACCTCCTAGAAGAACATTCTACTCCCATAAACTATTTGGGAGAGGAACTCAGTTGTCAGAACTGAGGAGAGCAAAGGAAGGACACACAGAAAAAAGGAAAACATAAGCTGCCCATGTTTGGCGATGCCCTGCTATGCATCACTGAGATGAATGGTGTATTTGTTTTGCAAAGTTCAGGTACTAAAGATTCTGGAACCGAAGCACAGTCATTCTGAAATAATTAAATGAACAATGGTCTCTTGGTATTAAATTAACCACCACTTAGTATCAACAGAGTCACCCTGTAATTATCAATTACTTTCTTGCAACATGGAACACAGTCAAAATCAGTTGCAATTTAAGGCTCTACTATTGAATGAAGTAGGTTTTCCACAATTATTAGAGTTCTCAAACAGGGAAAAACTGGTTTGGAAATTCACAAAATTTGTCCCTCAAAATATAAGCAGCACTGTTCCATTTATCTAAAAGCAGTTATTAAGGTGGGTTAGCCAATTACCTTTGTGTTTTCCCATCACCTTCTTATCTTCAATGGAAACAAAGTTACCTGGTTGAGGTTCTAAATACTACCAAATAGGAAGAGAGAAGTCACAAGATGGCCCAAAAAAACCCCGTCAGTGTATTTTAGGTTCTGTCACTACATTCTCTTGAAGCTGGAAACTAACTTTTCAAGCAGCAAACTCTACCCAAGCAGCTCTTTCCTGATTCTGCTTTAGACACAAAAGGTAGGGCAGTCCCTATCAGCAGTAACTCTGGGCTTCACCCCACCCCTCATCCTTACTAATGGCAGGGGACAGCAGGATTCAGCCATCTGTCTCTCTCACATCTCAACCACTCACAAGTACAGAGCCTCACAAGCACAGCACTACAAGTTCACACACTCCTTTTGCTACAGAAAGAGACTGACTGTTCAGGGATGGAGGTGAAAGGTACTTCCTACAGGGTCTTGGCATTTGCTTCTGGGTAGGCTTGGGATGCAAAAGGACACCGGACATTGTAACTTAGTGTGGGCCAAAAGCTGTTGGAGATGTTTCTGTAGACAGTGTTATAAATTATTACTGAAAACCAGAACAGAGCAAAGATTGGCATAGATTTAACATTGCTCACCTCGAGAAGGAAATTTTCAAAGTTTCTTTCACCAATGAAACATACTCCCATACTCTGAAAAGGAAATGTGGTATTGAATCCATAATAGCAAAGAAAAACATTTGAAATACTGTCTATTAATGATCTGTCCAAAACAGAACTCCCTCCCCATGTAGCCAAACTATGCTAGGCATCTCATAAAATAAACCAAACCACAACACCTGCTCCAGAAGAGGTAAACTAATTTTGTACAGTATCAGTAAGAGCCATAAGCATAAAAGAGAAATAATGGGAAACAGAACATATGTTCACCAAATAAATACATTAACCTTGGTAACTATACTGTGTACATATTAAAAACAGAAGGCTCTTGCAGATTAAAGAACAAAATAACACAAGTTATACAGTAAAGATATATCTCTTGAAAACATCTTTCAAAAACAGCTTTTCCTTTTCAGTTACTGCCTACATTCTTCAGGCACCCATTTACAGTGGAGGAATATGAGTATTAAAAGTGACGAAGACAGCATCAGCAATACAATTGGTGCCTGCATTACAATTTTTTGGGATCAACTCATCAAGTGTTAGTTCTTAGAGAACAGAACTTTTTGTTTGTTTTATAAAGAGTAACTGTGGAAAACGGCATCATCCAGTTTCATAAAGACATACTGAAAAACAATTATAGCGAGAAAGCCTTTAACAGCTACAGAAAATACAGACCAAAGGCTTCTCACCTGCTGTGATAGACAATACTTTTCTTAAGGCTCACAGCATCCTAACACATTCACCTTCATCTTGGGTCTTCTGAGACATAATGGCAGACAAATAATCTGCAAGCTAAACACACAACTAACCACAAGCTCATCAAAGTTCTTTTAAGCAAGTAGACAGCTATAAAGCTGCTTCCCAACCTGTCCTATTACAGTGCTCAGAGACAGACAAGCTGTCACAGTTTTAAGGTTCAAATAGTTCAGGAAAGTCTACTTTAGAAGGAAATACAAATCAAAAGAGTTTAAGTGTTACCATGCCTCTTTTTTCTTTAGCACATGATGAAGGCCGTGTTCCGCTGCTATCTTCTTGACAAAACTTTTTGTTAAATCCCCCAAAGGGAAAATGGTTTTCTTCAAAGCATCCTGCGAGATCTGACTTAGAAAGAAGGTCTGGTCCTTAAAGAGGTCGGCCCCTTGAAGGAGTTTCACAGCTGCAAAGTACAGAATACAGAGCACCTCAACATTAAAGGGGATTCCCTTTAATAGTTCAACTTCCTTTAGTATTTTGTTTGATAATCAACATTTTAGTTTATTTCCAAATACATGTTAAAGAAAATATTCTTCTGTTCACGGGTTTGCTTTTTTTAATTTCCAAAATCTAACTGAAAATGTTTGGGCACTTTCTCACCACTAGTAAGATCCAGAAAGATTCTGACTTTGTACAGTGCAGAATCTTATGAAGTCTTACACTGTCTTATCTATTATAATACTGCATGTGTCATTGGCAAGGACATCAACAATATGAAAAGCAAAACCAACCATTACATGTGAAAGAGACATGAAGATTTGAGTATTTTAGAGTATACCGTTCTTCAAAAAGACATCCAATTTTGCCCTGAAATTACAGCGCTATCGATCAGTGATCTGAACGATAAGCAGTTATTCCCAGTGCTCAGAGAGGCAAGTTTGACTTTTTTGTTAAAAACAAAGTCTCCCAATTGCCCAAAGAAAATAAAATTGATATGGCTTTTCAGTCATGTTCTGTCCACTCTTTTAAGACCTAATAACTTTACTGTTGTGCAAACTCTACTTCTTGACTCAAGCATTAACTACAGGCCAATAGTTCAGCCACAACTAATAATACAAAATCTCAGTAAAGGGCAGTAAAACTGTTAAGAACATCACAAAATCCTACAACTCAGTGAATCACAGTCTGCCACAAGTACAGACCATTTGTTCTGCTGTGCCCATTTCAACTTTCCAGAAATAAAATTAAAACAAAGAAGCAAAAAAGCCCCTTTAATTCCAAATCAAAAAAGGGGACACTACAACACAAAAACATCTCTGTGGCAGCTTTGCATACCGGGTGCTTGCAAGTTTCTTTTCCTTTGGGTATAACATGCTTCTCACCATATACACCAGTTTCATCTGAGTTATTTTACTGCATTATGGCCTACTGCAGAGCTATTTGAGAACTCTCTACACTGCCATCCAACCTCTGCTAGTGCCACGCAGAGACATACCCAAAACAACACCCATCAGGCTGGTTTTTGTACCGATAACAGGAGAACCACTGTGGTGCTGAGATCAGCCTCTGAATATATACAGCCACAGGCAGACTATTAAAGAGAAAAACCTGCATTACTGCTACTAGCACCTTTGCTGACCTGAGAATAGTAGCCTTAAAAATGTCTGCACATGCTGCACTTGCACTTTACAACTGCAGTGCAGGCAGAGCCTTGATATACCTAGGAAAACCAAGCTTCTATAGGAGAACAGAGAAATGAGGCAGAAGGGGTGAATTACTGAGTAAGAACCTGATTTTTTCCAGTAAAATAACATACAGTCCAATTATTTTATAAAAGTATATGTTATTAATTTTAATGTTAATGTTTCAAAGCCTTGATTCTAAAATTCCACTTAAGCATATCCCCATGATGAGTTCTATCTATACTGAATAACAAAATAATACATTCTCTAAAACAGATGAAACATTAAAAAAAGAAAATTTTACGTAAGTCATGAAAATACTAGATAAAGATTTCTTGAAATACTTCTCTGGGGGAACAGAAGATTCCCCTGTCTCCTTAATCCACATTACAACTCCTCCAGAAAGTTCATTATTGAAATGCTTATTCTTCCCTCTGAACCTGGATTAGAACTCTTAAAATAGAAAATGTAATACTTGACTAGTCAGGGTAATTTTCAGTAATGTAAATATTCTGTTTTGCACTATCAACCTTCTATAAAGGCTGGGGTTTTAATAGTAATCATTGTGTGTAAGGTAACAAACTTCCCTGATATTGTGACACCAAACAAGAGTTCAAAATTCTGTTTCATACCTAGGATGAAAGAAGAAATGAAGCATCCACTTACTATTTCTAACTTCAAAACGGTTTCTGAAAAGCCTTTGTGGTCTTTTCATATGTTTCTGTTGAAACACCTCCTCATCCTCTAGTGAGGTCCTAGCATAATGCCCAGTAGCAATTGCATCTGCTCCTATCAATAAAATAACCAAAACAAAACATCAATGCACATACTTGAAATTCAGTTTAAAACAGGATTATAAACATCCAATAAGAAAAGCAGAAAACAGTGATGAACAAAACCTATAGAGAAGTGTTATACTGACAATAATCATACTCCTGCTATTCAAACAATGTAAACTATTCATGAGCATGCCAGCACTTGTGCTTTTGTACTTGGAAGGACCACCTAAGAATGTAAAACTTAATGGTCAGGTCAATGCATGTCTCCAAAGTAAATCTGCTCCAATTTACAAGCAACCTGCTCTAGTGGAAGGTGTCCCTGCCCACAGCAGAGGGGCTGGACTAGATGACATTCAAAGGTCCTTTCCAAGCTGAACTGTTCTATGATTCTGTATCTAAAAGCAAACTTATTAACAAAAAATTTTGCAAATACTGGAATACTGCCACAGAGAAGGGTGAATTAGGCATTCATATGAACTCAGGTTTTCCCCCACCATTTCAAGCTTTCAAGAGTTTGTATCCTTTAAGTATTTCCACGGCACACACTCTGTACTGACACACTTGAAAATGCCTTACCAAGGTTATCCATAGCATAATGAAGAAAGTAGTTGAATTTGATGTGCTTGTTACACACAATATCAGGATTAGGAGTCCTTCCCAATTCATACTCTTTTAAGAGGTCACTGTAAAATAAAGATTCAAATATATATTGACATTATTAACACAGCATAATATTATCTGAGACTGAAAGATCTGTTTAAACATGAGAACTCAAGACCTAGGCATACTGAGCATGTTATGTTAGAAATAAAATACCCCTTGGATGTTAACCTGGAAAACACAATGCTTGGAAGATTTTCCCCAAAGTGCACTGAGGACATGGTCAAATGATCACTCACAGTCTTGTAAACATGTTTTATTAAATTAATGCTCCCTTGGGGGAGACATGGCTGCCCTCAGCACACACCCTACTTGTTTCCCCAGAATTAAACCACCCTGCTTCATTTTTCTAAGTGACAGCGCAGTAGAGCACACACCAGGGGTTACTGTGTCTCAGTAACTTAATTTGCAATAACACCACCATAAACAGCCATGGGACTTAATTTTATATAGGATTTTTTCCCTTTCTTTTTTATTTCCTTCAAGAAATTCACGTAGTTTCTCAGTCATGCTGTATTTTTACACTGACATATAATTAAAGTGCTTAGCATAATTTGCTTGAAAACATTAATATAATAACTAGAGAAAGTAAACCAGCAAGCAGTACTGCACTGAGATACCAAAAGGTCTGATCACTGCATTATTTAGCTTGTCTTCAGTAGTAACTGAAGTCAAGAGAAACTGAGTGGGCACAGGCTGGATTTAAAAGTACACCAACAACCCTATTATTTGGTTTTACTTTTCAACATCTGAAACAGAACCAGTCGCTTCTTCTTCACCATGTTATTCATTACATTCATAAACAGAAAGTAAAGCAACATAACCTTAATTTTGTCTAGCTCCTTTTTAACAGTTCTGAATTCAACAGTTCGTACTAAGAATTAAATCACCTGGGTCTACCCAGACCTGCCTCCCCTTGCTGACTCAGCACTGTACTCATAGGATAACACAATTCTTCTTTGTAATTACTGCAGCAGTACGCTGGAAGCCTTAGAAAAGATTCAGCATAAAGACAGACTCACATCAGTTCAGAACTTCAAGTAAAGTACAGAACTGGAGGAAAGGCAGTGAACGATGTCTGCTGAATCTCCCTCTGATGTAAGGATTTGAAACAGGCTGTGCACAAACCACAGGCAAGACAAGACCTGGGATAGTTCTCTTGATAAAAGGTGTTTCTGATGAATAACCCTCTAAAGAGAGATCCAGAGGAAAGTAAATCCCAGGTCAGTGATGACTGTAACAAAAACAGGATTCCAAACAAACCAAGTAACCTGCCACAGACACTTTGGGAACACTGTACTAATAAATGATGAGAAGCAAAAGAAAAGCTGATCTTCTATGATCTTTGAGTCACTGTCATTTACAGACACCCCTCAGGAGCTTTGGTATCATTTATACACTCTCACACCAGAGGGGAAGCATGGCGTTAACTGTCCCAGAACAGGGCTCTTTCCCTCACTGACCGTGCAGAAGTTCAGTGCTCAACTCTATCTCACTTCAACATGAAGTAGCATGACTAGGTTTCTTCTGAGACAAGGTTAACAACAGCACTACTTAAAGGGGGGGGGCAATGAAGGTCAGTGAACAACTTCTGTGCACCTATGTTGCGTGCATAAAGGATAAACTTCCCTTCTCCTGCCTCCAAGAAAAACTTGGCTTTTCCTAAGTAGAACTTTCTCTCCTTAAAGTGGAACAAATCCACAGAATATCCAAACACCCTCTTCAGAGAGCAGTTTCAAATCTATTATAAGCTTAAAGAAGCAAGGCTAGTTCATGATCACTTTCTAGTAAACTGGATTCAGTACCTGCTAACGTAAAATGCACCACATGAACTACACACAGACAACAACAGCACCCCATTTGCTATTTTCTTATGAAGCTGCAGTAAAGTTGGGCCAGCTGTGGGCAGAAGCTGAAATAAGCTGGAACAAAGTAACTGCTACACACTCATAACAACTAGAAAAAAGCCTCCTATTCATTTCAAGAATAACAAACATATTAAGACCAAGACTGAAATTCTGATCTTGAACACAAATGAGAGCAAAAATAATGCCTGTGTTAACAGGCTTCAGTAGTTTCTCTTAGCACTCACAGTAACTGCAGTAAACTGTCACTGACCCGTACGTACCTGTCCACCCTGCCTCCCCACAGTAACACAGTACTACACCAATACAGGGAAAGACCACCCACTTTAAACGTGTTTGTACCTGAATACTTCATTCCAGTATTCTTTCACGTAGGAAACTTGATGGAAAGGAATATCCAGCTTCTGACAAACGCGGTAAGCATCTTCACAATCCCTGTCAACGGAGCAAGCTCCTTGCTCATCCAGCGGGTCCCAGTTTTTCATAAAGACGCCTGTCACCTGGTAGCCTATGAAATGAAGGCAAGAATGACTTTAAAAATGTAATTCCAACTGCCTGGAACCAAAACCCGAGTTAAGCCTTGAGTATCTACTTTCTTTAGAAGGCGCGAGTAGTGCTGTGTCAAACGAATACGCTGCTAAGCGTTACTGTTCAGATACCGCATGGCTATTTTTAGTCCTGTAGCTAACAGCCAGCATGAAGTCAGCCGAACACGGCGGTATCTCCGACCTCCGCGTGTCCCCATCCCCTCCTTCCCCGCTCGCTCCAGCCGCTCCGAGGCCGGGTGTCCCACCCGCCGGAAGAGGCGGCCGAGGGCGGAGAGGGCCGCCTGGACTCGGCCCGACGGGTGCCGGGCGGTCCCGCCGGAGCGCAGCGCCCGGCCCCGCCACCCGTCACGCACCTCGGCGGCGCAGCAGCAGCGCGGCCACGGCGCTGTCCACCCCACCGGACACGGCGCAGGCCACGCGGCGCGAACCCGCCAGCATCGCCCCTGCCCCGCAGCGGCCGCGGCACCGCCGCTTCCGCCCCGGCCACCCTTCGCTTCCGGCGGGCGCGGCGGCCAACGGCGCTCGGGGTAAACGGGGCGGCCCTCGGGGGTTCCGGCGCCGGGCAGGAGTGCAGGCAGCAGCGCCGCGAGCAGCGCAGGCGCCTTAGTGCAGCGTCACCCCTTCGCGTACGGAGGCGAGGCGAGGCGCGACCCGGGACGCACTCGCGGTGTTTGTTCTCCCCTTCGCTAGCGGCCCGCCCGGCTCTGCCCGCAGGAGGGGATAACGCGTTGTCAGATCAAGCCCAACGGAGAAATGCGAAGAGCTTGCTGCCCCACGACCCTCCTCACTTCAGGACAACCAGAGCCCTCAAACACACACTTCATGCAGGCGCCCGCCGGCTATGTATGAGCAAGACTCAGCAGATGGAATTGCACAAAGGAAGACCCGAAGACAGTAACTGTCTCCATTGCTTTGTGTTTGTTAAAACTTGGTAAGCCAAGGGCTAATCCAGCTGACTCCGCTACTACTGCAGAGCGGTGCAGCCTCCTGCACATCCTGCCCTAACCCTACCTCAACATCCCTGAACCTGAGAGCAACTGACTTGCAGTTTGAAGGCTGGAATTTGGGTCTTAGTTGAAGACACATAGAGCTATCAACACGGTGCCTGAATTCCAGTGAACAGGCTAGTCAATAGAGGTGGTCAACACCAGAAGTATTCAGGTAGCCAGGTCAACCCCCACCCAAACAGTTTCTACTGGTAGAGGATTGATGCTTGTTTGTAAGTAGTCATGCACTAACCCAGGATTTAGATCTGCCTGCAACAGCATACATTCACAAAATGGAAGTTTCAAGGGGCATAGAACACCTGGCTCTCCTGCAAGTCATAGAATCATGGAATAGTTAGGGTTGGAAGGGACCTTAAGATCATTTAGTTCCAACCCCCCCTTCCATGGGCAGGGACACCTCATACTAAACCATGTCACCCAAGGCTCTGTCCAACCTGGCCTTGAACACCGCCAGGGATGGAGCATTCACAACTTCCCTGAGCAACCCATTCCAGTGCCTCACTACCCTAACAGGAAAGAATTTCCTCCTTATATCCAATCTAAACTTCCCCTGGTTAAGTTTTAATCCATTACCCCTTGTCCTGTCACTACAGTCCCTAATGATGAATCCCTCCCCCGCATCCCTATAGGCCCCCTTCAGATACTGGAAGGCTGCTATGAAGTCTCTACGCAGCCTTCTCTTCTCCAGGCTGAACAGCCCCAACTTCCTCAGCCTGTCTTCATATGGGAGGTGCTCCAGTCCCCTGATCATCCTCATGGCCCTCCTCTGGACTTGTTCCAACAGTTCCATGTCCTTTTTATGTTGTGTGCAGTTCTGGTGTCCTCAATAGTCCAAGTGAGGTCTCACAAGAGCAGAGTAGAGGGGCAGGATCACCTTTGACCTGCTGGTCATGCTCCTTTTGATGCAGCCCAGGATACGGTTGGCTTTCTGGGCTGCAAGCACACACTGAAGCCGGCTCATGTTCAGTTTCTCATTAACCAACACCCCCAAGTCCTTCTCTGCAGGGCTGCTCTGAATCTCTTCTCTGCCCAACCTGTAGCTGTGCCTGGGATTGCTCCGACCCAGGTGTAGGACCTTGCACTTGGCACGGTTAAACTTCATAAGGCTGGCATCAGCCCACCTCACAAGCATGTCCAGGTCCCTCTGGATGGCATTCCTTCCCTCTAGCGTATCAATCGAACCACACAGCTTGGTGTCATCAGCAGACTTGCTGAGGGCGCACTCAATCCCACTGTCCATGTCAGCAACAAAGATGTTGAACAAGACCGGTCCCAACACCAATCCCTGAGGGACACCACTCGTTACTGGTCTCCAGCCAGAGAATGAGCCATTGACCACAACTCTTTGCATGCAGCCAACCAGCCAGTTCTTTATCCACCAAGTGGTCCACCTATCAAATTGACAAGTCCTTAAAGTATAAGTCAGAAACCTACTTAGCTCCTCTTTAAAAGAAATCACAAATATATCACTAAAAAGTTGTGGGGTTTTTATTTAAGTGTTTATATATCTCTGCTTTGGTTTAGAAATATGCAAGCTGTTGCTTTCTCCTCTGAATCACAAACTCAGCTGCTGCTGGTAGTGTATTCCACTAGCATGCAACAGTAAAACATACATTTCTAAACTTGCTACACTTCTGTATGAAAACCCACCCCGAATCCACTACCTTTACCTACATCTCAACATTTGTTAGTTAAACACTAAAATTACCTAACCAAGGCCGGTAATAAAACATTGCCATTTTGTACAATAATTTGGTAAACAAATCATTTATTTTAAATTAAATCTTCATTGCACATAGGAAATAAAAAGAAAGTCTTCCAGTAAAAAGAATATCTTTTTTGCCTTAGAGCAACAGTTTAAACACATTCATTGCACCACATCCATGAGCAGAACCATTAATGAGAGAGACTACATCAGGACTGCTTGAATTCTAGTGTGTTAACACAGTTTACCACATAATCTATAGCCATCTTCAAAAAAATCATGTATGAGCAAAGATTAATTCCTAAATACTGTAAAGGTCACAGATGCCAAGAATTCTTCATTTCGGCTCAAGTTCAGAACTTGAGTAGCGGGGAATCCAGGTTTTCTTTGTTCACATCAGGACTCAGAGTGATAAGAGGTGAACTCAAATCAATTAGCTGAAAATAAATAACAATTTAGCTACTGTAGTCAGCTGTTGTGTATAACTAGCAGCAATAATCTCTAACAAGTCTTCAAGGACTTTTTTTTCTTGTTCAAGATTCCCATCAGCACCCAGAAAATGAGCACCACACAAAGGTGGTTCAGGTTTTTAAACATCTAGCTCATTCTTAGATATGCACAAGCTTCTCACAAGGTGGTTATTTGCCCATACTCACTAAGAGCCTAAAAGGCTTTTCTGAGTTTCATAACTGTGCATATTGGAGTGACACAGTCACCCAGGCAGGGCAGAGCACTTCTGAGCATGCCTCCAGAAGTCACTTCTGTAATCCTCTTCCGAGATGCTTTGAAGGACCTGATAGTAAGTTGATCCCAGCTACGTCTAACATCACCAAAGGCTACATCCTCAAAGTTAGAACCATTTATCTGACAATGTCTAAAGGCTTCTACTAAAGGTTCAAGCCACTAGTGTACAAAAAAACATTTGCCCAGAAACATCTGTCAAATTTACTGAAGGTTCTAATGCACACCTTTCAACTAAGGAGGGTATTTGGAGAGGAGTTAAAGAGGAGAGACAGCCCTGCTTTTTTGCTGAAAATGAGCAGCTGCTCTTAAGAACTGGAAATACGCAAGAAAAGGAAAACAAGTCAGCATGCCTGGTGTGCTGAAGAAAGCATTCACTTCCTGCTCCAGAGCAGTTTCATTCTTTGACAACTGCTTTAAGCATCAAGTTCTTTCTCCATCCTCCTCCTTTTCCTATTTGCATATTGCTCACTGAGCTTCTTCAGAGCACACCAATTTTAAATATTACATTCTGTTTACTGAAGACCCCTTGTGTGTAGTATCATACTGAACATATGAGCTCATGTTAAATAATCCTTACAAGTACTGTGGAGCTGCTCTGCAAACAAAATACATGCAGCCATTTGACATTTTTCTGCTAGCATATTTGCACCAGAAGACTTAAATGTAACTTACCTTCACCTGCCCTGGGAACATGGGCTTTAGAGGAGTAATCTTACTCACTTCAGGAGTATTGGAAAGGTCAATCAGAGGTCTATTTTCACATTCCAAGATGTGTGGGAGAGATGTGTCTACTCCGATATCTACCAGTATGGCCTTAAAAAAAAAAAGGTTCAGATTTTCCCCTCTGTTCTTCATGCTTCTTTCATAAGGACTTAGGCAATTTATGCAGCCATAATAATCAAAAGAGAGGCTTAACGTACAGGTTGAGTATTTTTCATGCAGGATTATTTGCATGCAGTGTAAAATCTCAGCTCCTGCTATGCCATAGGCTGGCATCAAGAATAAGGAAAATGCAGCGAGACAAAGCAAAAGAGTTCCTTGGGGCATGAAACAATTTTTCACTTAAAAGCAGGTAAGTTCAAATAGAAAAGTAATAACTCTGAAATCATTTAGATTACTTGAGTGCAATTATTGTGCAATCTTACTTAGCCATATAACCTGTTCCATATACCTCCAAACTTTAGTCATGCTTTTTGTCCAGTTTAACTACTCTATACATGCACTAAATAGTTCTGTAACAGATACTTTGTGACATCAAGTAACTCAACAAGGAAAATACCAATGCAGTTATATCAATTAATCTACAGATTATTCTGTAACTGAGTATTTGTAAATCAGTAGCCACTATGACAGGTTACTATTTCAGCACTACCAGTTCAGTCCTTTCTCCTTAGTGCCTGTGGAGTAGCAGCTTTCAACACGAAGCCAGTAGATTCTTGGGAAAGGGGAAAAAGTGTTTCCTCAACTAAATAAGTGACCCTTAACCAAGTTTACTACAGCATTTACTGCTACATGGGCTTTGGGGTTTAATCCTCATTCATTGTATGCAGATTTGCACTTCTGTTAGGTGCTAGAATGTAGCTACTTTATGGCTGCAATAGGAACTGCCTTGTGGCTTTGGGGTTTAATCCTCATTCATTGTATGCAGATTTGCACTTCTGTTAGGTGCTAGAATGTAGCTACTTTATGGCTGCAATAGGAACTGCCTTGTGACTCTGCTTTTCTAATCAAATCCACAGTGATTTCATTGTACTTATTCAGAAGTGGAAATTTAATACCAAACTACAAGTAGTTGACCATTCAGCTTCCTTAGCAGAACAATCTTGGTAGAAACACTGAACAGATGTTCAGTGCTAAATATAAGCACTAGAGGGTGCACTAAATTAACAATTGGAGTTAATCCATTTTAACTTCATGTGTACTGGTTTTCCCTAATCCGTCATCTTTAAATAATTTCTTTTCAAGCAGTTTGCTTAGTACTGTAGAAAAATGTATCATTTCTTACCTCAGCTTTTTTC